TGTCTGCTCTTATTTGATGAAAAAACGGCAGAACACGTACGAACAGATCGTCCAATTTGTTAGGTCCCGGCGCCCTATCATTGACCCAAACCCGGGATTCGTGGCTCAGCTGGAGTTGTGGCAGGAGATGGCCTATCGGTTGGACGCAAACAGCCATCGCTTTCGACAGTATATGAGAGAAATATATTTTCAGAGATTCCCGTTTAAAATGAAGAAATACTTCTCCAGACTGAGCGCCGCCGAGAATATGACACAACCGTTGAATTTAGGGCAACAGTATGTCTGCAAGAAATGTGGTGAAAGGCTGTTCCATGAGCTCCATGTGCTCAAGAGAAGTGGCGGCGCAATAAAGGGCACCTGTGGTTATGTTTTCATAGATCCTCAGCCGTGGATGTCTGAGCTGAATGGGTCACAAACAATACTTGACAGGTCTTCCGAACAGCCCATCAGATGCCAAAAGTGCAAACAACAGGTGGCAAAGTGTTGGACAACTCCGTCGGCCTACCAGTGCCCCTGTATCGACCACTCGGGGTTTAAACAGATCAGAGTTCAGATGTTGGACAACACCTTCTCATTGAAGTCTAAGTAGTTTGACATGAGTTTTGAATTAGTTTTATGAATTCATTTCAAAATAAAAGCAAAAATTTCACAAATTTAGAATTATTTAGATTTTGAAACCTCTCTCTTTCTCTCTCTCTCTCTCTCTCTCTCTCTCTCTCTCATGAGTTAAAATTTAATAAAATTGGAATTTATATTTAATTAATATCACAAATTAGACATCAAAATATATCGTATTTTAGTTTAAAAGTAAATAATTATTTCTTGTGAGCGGTGGCAGTGTTTGGTTGATTTGGTTTGACATTTGTGTTGATTTTGTTTTTGTTTTTATTGTCCACTACTTTAACGTTTGGTTTCACAGATTTCTCTTTCTGTGACTTTTCTTTCTTCGGGATCTCTTTATGGACAGCCGTTTGTGACTTTCCAGTGAAGGGAATGAAGTCGGATAGGGATCGCACACTCGGAACGATATCAAAATCTTGTTGCTCGGCCTCCAGTTTGCTTTTTGTCACTTTTCGTATCATAGAGTGTAATGTTATTCATTACATAATGTTATGGTTATGACTTACTTTGTAAGCCAAGCGGTTGTGGATATTTACAACACTTCTTCCGGAGTCCATTCAATTCCTTCTCAGTTTTCATGTAATACTTAAGTCTGTATATCACTCTTAAGTGGAAATTTAGAAAAATTGAAAACATATTTGAAAATTGTATCTTAAAATTGTTTGTAATACTAACGAAATCAATCCTATGATTAATATCGTTACCGGAATTAATCCCAAAACAAATACCACAAATTCATTCATAATTTTAAAATACTTGTATTTAAATTAGTATTATCTATATATAAACTTATTAAAGTACATTTTTAGATTCAATATTTTAATGCAAAATCTTTACTAGAATGTCTACTAATAATGGCAGTTATTTATAGTTACATAATACTGATTTAACTTATATTACTTCAAGTTATATTTCTTGTTAGAGTTAATTGTTAACACGATAGCGGGAAATGATTTGAAATTAAATGGACAGATAAGAGCAAAATAACAGTTAGATATAGACATCAAGTGACCAAAGATGCCAAACACTGAGGACGATGTGATTTTCAATGAACTGAAAAATCTATATAAAAACAAAGAGTTTTTATTGCTTGAGACAAATGAGCAGAAAATTGAGTTCATTTTGCATCGGATGTGTCCGTTGGGGACCTTTCGGAGAGTAATCTATGGGATGGCCGACCAATCACTTCTTGAGCGCCAGAAGAGCACTGAACAGACACTGCATTACAGAGCAGAGGGACAGCAACTGTTTTACACCCATTATAAAGAGGCATTCATTGCCTTTTCACATGTATGTCCTTTTCGGCGAAATTATGAATAAATTGTAACCAATTTATCTTTAATATAGGCTATACTCTCGGCTCCATTCCCATCCGATCCAGAAGATCCATTCAATGATCTATCGCTGGCATATGCCTTCAGATCTGACCTCCACTTCAAGTATGAAAACTATTCTCTGGCGCTCTTCGACGCCAACCAATCCATCGATTTGTGCGAAACTTATGAAATGCTTTTGCAAAGAGTTTACTGTTTAAGACAATTGGGACGAATCGATGAGTGCATCGAAATGTTTAACCAAATAGTCGACAAAATCAACTCAAAGTCATTGCAAATCGATTGCAACAAAACTACAGAACTCTATGAACTGAGTGAAGAATTAGTTGGCAAACGATACACAACCACAGACTCTGAAGAGGAAGACAGCGATTCAGGGAATGAAGAGTCAAATGATTGCAAACAAGAAAACTCGTCAAATAGTGGTCCGAACTTTTGGATGCATCCCAACTGTCAACTCGTGAACAGCGATAGAAAGGGTCGATACATGTGTGCCAATGAGCTGATCCAAAAGGGAGCAGTTGTGATGGTGGAGCGACCATTCAGTTCAGTGCTATTGTCGGGTGAGATCCAAACGTCTCACTGCACTCATTGTCTCAAAGACATTGGCTCACAATTCGTGCCGTGTGTCGGATGTAATGAAGTGGTCTTCTGTGACACCAAATGCCGTGAAGAAGCGTACGGACAATACCACAGATATGAGTGCTGTCTGACAGGACTGCTACAGTCAGGCATGGGATCCATGTGTCTTCATGTCTTTAGAGTGTTATCTCGATTTGGAGCCCAAAATGTCATGAATTACATGAAACAAGACTTCGATAGCATTTCATATATCGATCGCCAAAAGAATACGACAAATGAGTGGCCGATTGAGGGCTCAGAAGCACAAGACGTGAATGACTTAAAGATATTCCTATCACTGGTCGACCATCGCATGGAATTCGAGCCAATGATGGATATCTATCACTGCATCCGATCCATCGAATTGGCCCTATTCTTGGAGTACACCCAACAGTTAGACTTCGATGTTGACCTCCATTTCCATGAATTTGTCTCATTGGCCGCCAATATAAAGATAGTCATCAATAAAGTTGTTTCCAATGTGTTTGGGTGGAGGGAGCGAAAGAGCAACTGTATGATAGGCTGTGCCCTCAACAACGTGAGCTCATTGATGAACCACAGTTGTGTCCCCAATGTCTTCTGGGGCTTCACTAACGAGCACTTTGTGATGACCGCCGCTAAAGACATTCCCACAGGACATGAAATCAGTTGCACATATGGGCCAACTGTAGCCACCGCTGAACTATTCGATAGACACAAACGGCTGAAGAGGTGCTACTTCTTTGACTGCAATTGTGAGGGATGTCTTAAGGAAGCAAAGGAACAGCTGACCTACAGATGTGTTCATTGCAACGGACCGGTAGTGCCCACCTATGTCTACACCAAACAGAAGATATGTTGTCTTATCTGTGGTCAAGAGAGACCAGACTTCTATAGCATTGTGGCTGCAGTTAATGGAAGTATTAAACTGTTTGACCGAATGATGACTAATTTGAACAACGATTACAATACAGAATATTCTCTATCGATGGCTGAGAGGACACTCGATACTATCGTCAAACATGTCTACCCCGAGAGTCAGATACTTCTCGATAGCATCAGACATTTGGTTCGGGTTTATGTTAAATTGGATCTCTTCGACAGAGCCGTCAACTTTTGCCACTTCTTCACGACCACCGGTTCCACTCACGCCAGACATATGGATGACTTGTATCTGTGGACAACTTTCTTCTATAAGTATTTGTCGGATAAACGAGTGGACAGTTGTCACTGGGATATAGCCTTCCAGTTCTACGACCGACTCATCGGTGTCCTCAAGAGCCACAAGAAATGGCTCAAAACCAAGTCTTCTTCGTTTGGAGTTCCCGTATGGGACGCAAACACCGGTGAAGATACCGGCGCTACAAAGAAACCAATTTTGGGCCCAAAAGCACTTCAGAGAGTGAAGGATGAGATCAAAGTGAAGAGAGAAGAGTACAGATGGTTGAGACAAATGAGACAATCGGTCGCATGAAGTGATAGTTTGACACAAACTTATTGTCAGTGAGAGCATGAAAATCAAGAATTCAAATAAAATCAAACATTTCGACAGAATTTATATCAGAATTTCATGCTTTAGATTCAGACAGTTGTATAAAAAGTATTAAAATGTTGTATTAAATCATTCAATCCAAGTGTTCATTACATTAAATTCATTTCCTCCCATCAAACAATTAATCTAATTAAAGTAACAAGGTATAATTCTAACTTACTGTCAAAGTAGATAACCCAGTACTGTATTGCCATTCAATGCCATCTCTTGCGTAATCACTGTATTTAAAACTTTATACACAGTTTACAATTAATCTTAGATATTGTGAGCAAACAAATTAGACATGATAATTGAAAAGTGCATTTATTGAAAGCATAGAATTTAGCGATAATTTAAATACACAAATCAAAACGTCCAAAAATATCGCAATCAGCTACAGTACACAATACAATTGACTGGTGTTTGTGTAAAACTGGTGTCAACTGTACCCAAAACAGTGTACAGTATTTGATAGTCACGTGTAGTGTTTGGAAAAGTAGTTTAAAAAGTCACTCAAGCGAAACACATATCAATGAATTGATTATGAAATCAATAAATTATTAATATTGAGAGCAATTGAGTGGAAAAAAGTGATTGAAATGAATGAACAAAAATAATGAGTGAATGCAAGGAAAGTGCGATAAAAATGTAGTGAAAATCAGTGTACGAGTCATGTGTATCAGGGAATGGCATTCAAAAAGTCGGACTTCAAGTGAGTTTTCACTCGAGATTACGGTTTAATAATGACTTAAATAATACTTGAAATTCAATTTCAGTTCAAGAGTTCACTGCATTTCATGCATTTCACTGCGAAAGTAGTCACGCTAATAAGTTGCTAGCTTATTTGTCGCCAATCAACGCGTTATACGCTATACTAGCCTCGAAATCGGTGTCCATTGATATCGCGGTGTCTTTTAGTGGTGTACTATGTCTTCATCCGACAGTACGATCAGACAGTTAGCCATCGGTGCCGTCGATCTGATGGCCGGATCAGCCGGTAATCACTTATTTCAATGAATATCTCTATTTAAATAACTAATATTTGTTGAACTTGTTTGACATGATACTACCCTGGTCATACGACAGGTGGTGTGGCCACTGTACTGGTGGGGCAACCGTTGGACACAATTAAAGTAAAAATGCAAACATTTCCGCATTTATACACAAATACATTGAATTGTTTCAAACAAACTGTGCTTAAGGTATGCATTCATTCATTATATCTGTCACTCATTAAGACATTTAGAAGTATTGAAACTTAAGGCAT